GCTGCACCTTTACCCATCACCAAAGACTGGGAAATTGATTGGCAACCATGTTCTGCCATCACTCATCGTTGGGTTCGTGAAGGTTTATACCCTAAAATGAACCTTGGAGGTGAGGTGTTTTTGGATCTAAGTGGCCTTGATCTTCCAAGGTGGTTCTTCAACCTTCTCTTTGCCTCAAAGACATCAAGATACACACTTTCAAGCTTAAAATGAACACACAAGATATTAGGGTTTGCTACGGACGAAATGAGGGTTGGAGGCTGGTGAGAGGAAAGAGACTTGGGACATAAGGATGCTTAAATAGGGTCCAAACCTTAAAATTTTGGGTTTGGGATCTTGCCACATACACCATGCGTACTCAATATATGCCTGACGTACGCACCCTCATCAAAAAATTACAAAAATGCCACTGTTGGCCAATTTGCAACAATTCTCACACATAAGGGTTGGAAATATAATTTACCTCTAATATAAATGTTACGGAACGAACGTAAATGAACAAAAAAACGAACGTTCACGAACATAATTGAACAAACAAGAGCATTGTTCATGTTCGTTCGTTTAACTAACCGAACGAGAATTTGTTTATTTATTAAATAAATGAACTTCCCGTCGAACGGTTCATGAACAGTTCACCTAACATTCAGTTCGTTTACAACCCTACCCAAAACAACAAGGTCAAACTTCATTTCCCCTTAGAGGATGCCTTATTCACACTACAAAGTAGATTTTCATCAACATCAAACAAAAGAAGTTTGGTAGCTGGGTTTGTCTTCTTTAATACTTCCCTTCTATATGCATAAAGCCCAAACACACTGTTTTAATAACACTCTGATTTTGTCATTCCACTACACAATGAATATGTAATCAGAGAATTTATTTTTGACTGGGTAGCAGCAAAATTACCACCTTTTGAAGAGTTTATATGTGAAACGAAAGCAGTATAAACAACCTTAAGAGACTGAAATAAAAAAATGAAATTAAAAATCTTAGACAAAACATCAAATAAAATTAAGAGTTAACAATCCTAAACGATTGAAATTGAAAGACCCAGTAGCACATCAATTAACCTTATGATATTGTATGCAAATCAAAGGAAAAATTGGATTCTAAACCATAAATAACTTTTTATAAGCTTTTAACTAAATTAAACTTCACCTGAAACCTTGTAAATTTGAAAAATCCAGACAAAGCATACACACAAACACATACATACACCGAGACAATTTTGTAAATTTGAAGAAATCTAGATAGAGCATACACACACATACATGCACAGAGACAACCAGTCAAATAGATATACACAAGCACATTGATGTATAAAGGGAAAAAGTATTTAATAGACTTTACTTACAATAATACATACATTAGTGAAGATGAACTGGGACTCATAAAGGCCCACAGCTTGACAAATCTGAAAACATTCGTCATGTTAGAAAATAATTATTTTTTGGTGAAAACTAAATGAAAATGAACAAAGATTTTGAAACTCATATGTTAAGATAAACATGAATTGGTCCGCTATTCTGCATACCAACAACCACATATCCCTGGTTTTCATTAATCCCAAATCTCAACCAAATTATACACTATATAAAAGTCTCCCTCTTCCCCTTTCAAGTCTACTTTCACTGTTTCTCCTTTTGAGTCTGCCCCCTTGCTGTGTAAGTGTGTTAGGACCTTCTATAGGACTTTCTCTTAGATGCAGTTAGTCATGCTGAGATTGAGGCTTAGGAGAGAAAAGAAAGGTTTAAAATCAAGTATCAAATAACAAATATAAACTCAAAAAGTCGATATATACCTTTACCTTCATCTTCCATCTCAGGCTAATTGGTAATGTAAACTTTGTACAATGTTTTCATCTCCATCAGAAAATTAAAGTAAAAAACCAATTTAAGAATGGAAAAATAAAACCAAGATCTACCTCTTCCTCAGATTTAATCAGCTGCTACTAATTTTCATGACATAAAGCGGTTGTTGGAGTACAGATAAATCTCGAACGAAATGGTTGTTTGAAGCAAGGGTTTTGTTTTGGTGCCGAATCTGGTGATTGGAGTCTAAGAAGAAGATGAAATGTTGTCTCTTTTGGTTCAGCATATTGACAATGACCTTGTAGTCCCAACAGTACCTGCACGTAAAGCTAAAACCCTAAATCATAAAAAGATAGAATCGATTATGGTGGTAACAGGTCCATGAAATTGACATGAAATAGAGAGAGTGGCGGAGTTTTAAATACTAACACCATATTTGTTTGTGTTCTTGTTCCTCTTCATCCCTTCCATGTAAAGGAGATAGAATAAGGCCCAAAAATAGAAAAAACTGATAGAAGGTGTGAAAGAATAGAGGAAAAAATAACTCAAATGTTTTAGATCTATAAGGAACTTTTATTGCTGCTACACAAAACAAACAGAAAACTCCATTAGTTATATAGGCTAGAAAGCATACGCTAGTCGATAGGAGCAAAAGTAAGATTAAAGAGAGATTTAGAGATGAAATATTTAGGGTTTCTTCGGATATTGAATGGAGAGAATGATTTGAATCTAAGGCACACAAGTGGTCAACATATTTCAAGAAAAATTATGGTAATAGAGATTTTAAAATATTATAAAACAAATTTGAAGAGCTTTGGAGCCAAAAGGATCAAGCATTGGACATTTGTAAAACATGCTCTACAAGTTGTCTTTAAGACAATTTTTTAAACGATGCTTAATTTTATTGTACATCAACCTTTAGAACTTGTATTTAATCATTTATGGTTACTCAACTGTCATAATCATATATGATTATTCAATCTGTAAACATACATATATGTATAATAAGTTATGATTAGGCATATACGTATAAACATGTATAATCATATATGATTATACCTCTCTGCCATATAATCATTTATGGTTAGACATATCGGACTGCTGTCGTTATGCTGGAGCGTTTGAACGACAAATGAGAAATATGTAGCTGAGATTGAATCTCAAGATCTTTAATTTTTTTAATCTCAAGTAAACCGTCATCTCTCTCTCTCTCTCTCTCTCTCTCTATATATATATATATATATATATATATATATATATATATATATATACACACACATTTTTCTATCTTTTTTGACGTTTAAAGTTAAGTTTTTTTTTTTAAATTGGATTTCTATGAATTTCAATTATGTAGAAAAATTCATAGCAGGATAACTACAAATTTTTTTACTTTGCATCAGAATAGCTACAAATTTTAAATTTGCAAGAAATTTTGTGACAGTTTATCTACGAAAAATGATTCTTTGGCAAATTTCATAGCTCAATAGCTACAATTTTTTATTTTGTGGTGGAATAGCTATGTATTTTGTTTCTGTTCATAACTTCATTGCAAATTAGTTATGGATTTTGATTACATAAAATATTATATAGCGGAATATCTACGATTTTTTATTTCGTAGAGAAATTCCAAAGCTATTTTGGATTTAGTTACTAAATGTAACTTATTAGCCATTTTCATAGTAAAATAAATACAGTAAGCCTTTCAGTACTAGAATCACTATCGATTTTGATTTCATTGCTATTTACGAACTTTCTTGAAGTGGTTCATCTGGTCTATGATATATGTGTTATCCAATACTCATTAATTAATCTCAGATACTAAAATCCAATATCCAAATTTAAAGTGAGGCTTCTCGATTAAAGAACGAGATTCAGTCGGTATACGTCTAGGTAATATTCGTTTATGGTTCATCAATCATTGATACATGACAATACCAATTTATTCAATATCGAATACTAAAACTATGTTAATGATAAGTTTCCCTCTAAATGCAAACTAATGCATGTTTACTAGCAACTGAAATTCAGTCCCTAATAAGTTCTCTTTAAAACCAAAAAATTCAGTCCCTAATAAGTTCTCTTTAAAGCCAAATTTGGTTTAATTCTGTCAAAGACCGAAGTTGAGTCCCTAGTAAGCTTCTCTCTAAAGTCAAACCTAACGCAAGTCTATCAATGACTGAAAATTCAGTCCCTAATCGATTTCCATACGTACATAGCAAAAATTATATATGTATATCATAAACAAAAATTCAATCACAAATAAGTTACCATACACATGTAATTTGACACAAACATATCATGGACTGAATTTCAGTCTCTAATAGGTTTCCCTCCAGAGCCAAAATTGTATAGAGACTAAAATTTAGTCTCTAATAAAATATCATCCACATGTAATTATGCACAAACATATATAGGACTAAATTTTAGTCTCCATTATGTTTCCTTTCAAAGTCAAAACATACCAAAGACTTAAATTCAGTCCCTCATAGTTTCCCTTCAAAGTCAAAATTATACATGTATATCAAAGACTAAAATTCAGTCTCTAATAAGGTACCCTCCACCTGTAATTTAGCATAACCATATTAATTTTAGTCTCTAATAGCTATTCTCACTCTCTAACGACTCACATACTGTCCCAAATATTATCAGGGGATGATTAATCAGCCCTAAATACATACCACTAACCATCCGCAATCCAATATACATGTTATCAAAGACTGATTCAGTCCTTGAATTTTTAGTTACAAATGTCCATTTTTCTTGTAGTGAAACTAGAGAGATTCATTATTGATACTGAGATGAAGCTTACAATTACATTGATGCTCTTTCTATAGAGCTACATATGTACAATTGAAATTGTTTATTAAAAAAAGTGGGGCACAAATATATTATCACAATTGGTATGGTAATTATATTGTTAAGTGTTAACCCATTTCCAATATCGGGCATACCCTTAATCCTCCACGAGAAGCAGTTAGTCTCCACAACTCAACAAGCTCAATAAGTTTGGTGTGGAATGTGAAAGAAACTAAAGAATAAGAAAACAACCCACAAACCCTTAGCTTCAAGGGATATGGTACATCATATGATGGTTCTAACTATCATTTATAACACCAATACATAGGCGACGTAAAGTGTTCAAGTACGAGGGATATGACCATCTGTTTAAATAATTGGGCCTTGAATTACATGAACAAGAAGGATACTTCTTTGGTGCTAGAAGATGCACAAGAGGAGCATGTATCTTTTACACTTAAGATATCGTTTGTGAGGTCTTCAGGGTGTGAAGAGCCTTACATCCGAACTCAATACTCCTGAAAAAGAGAAAAGGAAATAAATATCATATGCCTATTTCTAGATAAAAATTTGCAATGTGGTCATGGATACAGTCGGTTGTGAATGTCACATACTCACATCTTCCACACTGGTGAAGGAGTTGCAGCTTCCCCCATAAATTCATCCACAACCCTACAAATTGCATTTGCCCAATTGTGGAAACAAAGATAACATGACTCATCAACCAGTAATTTCATTTTGTAATTGGTAATTATCAAGAAGATGTGATATGGGTTCACTACAAGAAAACTGCTTATTAGTGACCATTTTTTTAGTGACGACGTAAAATCTAGTCACTAAATGCACAGTTCATTGACCATATATTAAGTCGTCACTGAATTTTGTGTAATGCTACAAATTTAGTGACGAGTACTATTATAGTCGTCACTCACCGGTCACTAAATTATAAAATTGAATTAAAATATTTTTTTTAATATCAGAACAAATATTAGTGACTAAAAATAATGGTAATTCATTTACAAACGTAATGACCAAAATTAATGGTCACTGCATTGTAACATTAATGACCAAATATTGTGGTCACTAGAAAATTAAACAAAAAATATTATATTTTATTTAAAATAATTACGTTTTGAGAGTTAAATTTAGTTGAATATTATTTTATTAGAAATGTAGCAATTTTTTAACCGTTGGGTCTTTTTTATCAATAAATTCAAAGATAAGGGTGTTTTATATAACTTTTCGAAAGTTAACTTTGCGTTTCCTCTAAATCCAGAATCTACGCTAGCGTTTGATTCTTTTACCAGGGTTACGTGTAGACATTTGATCGTCGATTTGAACCAATCTTCCAACTTCATCGCAAATTTCCCTCTCGGTCGGGCCCGAATCAAGTCGACATCGTAAAACGAACTGCAATTGGCTTCATCATTTCAGTATTTCTCTCAGTCGGTCACGAAGAACCAGTATTGGCGATCTTACTCTCGCAATCGTTGTCCATCGATAAGTTTTGGTGCCCTTCACCATCGGCAAGTCGATCGCTGTCTGAATTCATTGTGAGGAAGACCTCTGTCGGCCTCCACCGTCAAGCCGACGACCGCAATTTCAGGTAAGCTCTGTTTCCGTTTCTGATTTTATTGTAATACAATACTACTTTGTGTTATATTGATTTCCAAGCAATTATCACTGAATAAATCTATGTATGTATAATACTATTCTAAATGTGTTTGAGTTCAAGTCTTACTGCCTAAATATGTGTGTCTGATTTCAATTGTTGCTGGATGGATTCACTTTACTGGAAATTAGGCTCAAGTGTTTCAAGAGGTCGGTCAGTCTACCCTAAACTCTTTGATTTGCTAACATAAGTTTATTCAGGTTCTTTCTCTCTCTACTCGCACAAATTCAGTCTTATTTTCATGGTTATTTAAACAAATCATGTGTTTACTTGAACATCCAAAATGAAAAATTATTTATATTTAACAACAGATAAAACTGAGGTGTATCTGTTCATCTGTTGTTATTTAAACAAATCATGTGTCAAAGAAAGATACTCTCAAAGCACGTGAATAGTCTGCAAAGTTTGTTTTCATTCCCTATTTTTTTTTAATAACATTGAGATTTTGCTATAACTTGTTGGAGTTAATGTATTTTTTTTGTATAGAACTACAACAAAAGTAAGTGAAATGTTGGGGAATGTGAATACAAACAGTGCCCTTTCAGCATTTGAGAAGATGGATGAAAAAAGTTCTCTTTCTTTCTATGTTCTATCTTAAAACAAAACAAAAGACATGAATGCCTTTCTAACTTTTTTTTTTTGATGTCCTGTTAGTTATGACCATGGAGTCTCAAGCAGAAGCCCTTAATCAGCTAACAACTGATGATCTTGAAGGAAAATGCAAGAACTTATAAAAAAGAAATGGGAGATGATTTTGTTTCTGTTGAACATCTTGTTTTGGCATTCCCTTTGGATAAGAGGTTTGGAAAGCAATTGTTCAGCAACTTGCAGTTAAGTGAGAAGTCATTAAAGGATGTTGTGCAAGTTGTTCGTGGAAGTCAGAAAGTAACTGATCAAAGTAAAAACATTTACCTTCTTAGTTTCACTTTCACTGGTTAATTCTTATTTCCTTCCTCAAACTTGTTATTTTGTAATGTCTGTTGTTTTTATACCGATCAAAGTCAAAATGAATGATGAGGTTATATGGCAAGTTCTCAGGCATAAACACTGCAGTTATATGGCCAAGTAAGTCTTGGGCAATTTTGTCATTAATGTGCTGAAAAGTTACCTAAATGTTAAAACTGTTTCATCCCACTTTTTATTTTATTTTTATTATTTATTTGATCAGAATTACTGCTGGAATTTTTTGCTGAAATGAGTACAATTTAACTGGAATTTGTAACCGAAGCTCATGTCCACTAGCCAATAGTCGTTATGCAACCATCCGTGATCATGATGGTATTTTTCTAAACCCTAAACCCTAGGGATAAAATTGTCATTTTTATAGTAAAATTATCTGGTTATATACTTTATGCATAACTTTCTATTTTGCATGAGTCTTTTACTTGTATATGAAAACCATAAAGAGAGCTCATATGCCAAACAAGCTATGGGAAAGAGTGAAACTGCCTCACAATTATGAAAAAGCCCTTGAAATCATCGACAAAAATCTGGTACAAAACTTTATTTATATCCTTTTGAGTTTCTTTAAATGAAATTAAAAATTAAAATCGAGTTAATATCAACAGATGTATTGGCCACAGTTTCTTGTACACAAGGCAAAACAACGGTTGACTAAAATGACACAAATGCGTATACGCATGAGGAAGCTTGCCCTTAAAACAAGGTTTTTTTTTTCTTTTTAAAAAAAATATCTTATTTGTTCTATTTCCATAATTATAATTAACCAAAATATATAAACTTTTATAGGGAAAAGATAATGACAACTCCAAGGAAAGAAAAGAAGAGAGAAGCTATAAGAGAGGAAAAGGCTGAAAAGGCAGCTATATTGGACAAGGTTTAATTTGTTATTTTTAAAAACTTATAAAATATTTCAGCTTTATTTTTTTTTAATAAAATGTTTTCATAATTTTAATAATTAATATTTCTATTGTCCAGAATATCGAAAAGGAATTGTTGGAGCGTTTAAAAAATGGAACTTATAGTAGTGAGATAGTTAATGCTCATGCTGAAGCATTTAATAAGTTTATTGAACAATTTGAGGGACCAGAAATGGATGTTAATGAAGAGTACGAGGTTTGTTAGTAGAATTTATTTTTCCCAAACTACCCTTTTGGTTTTTTCTTTTATTATTTTGTATAAATGTAAATATTTTCTGGAAAACATGTGGAAACGGAATTTGTTGAAGGCGAATATGAAGAGGAAGATGATATGGAGGATTACAATGGTCTTCCAACCGGTTCCGATGGTAAGTCGAGGGCGATTTTGTAATTTTCTTGACTTATTTTATTAATTATTAATTATTAATTAAACTATAAATAGATTAGAGGATGATGAAGATGAAGATGATGATGATGATGATGATGATGATGCTGAGGTGGCAGTAGATAGAAAGAGAGGAAGGAAAGATTCCAAATATGCTTTGAAGAAACAGGAGAGAGATGCTAAGAAGAAGAAAGGAAGAGTACTTGTTGAGGTAAAACTGTTGAACAACAAATTACAATGTTTATTTTTTCACCTGAAAAATATGGGAATGATTTGACCCTGAAGGGAAATATGAGGCACCTGAAAAATATGTGAATGATTTGACCCTGAAAGAAACTTGTTATTTTGTAATGGTTTTTACCGGTTCACATGAACACCAGTTTTTTGGCCTTTAAGAACCGTATCCGGGACCGGTTCCCGGTTGAACCGGTCGAACCGGCCGGTCCGGTCCGGTTTTCAAAACATGGGTCATATGTGAATGTGATGTAAGAAGTTCATATCTGATTTAAGCTCTTATACATTTACATTTCTGCAATCAAGTGTCATATTAATTGACGATTTGTTCAACAGGTTGCTGCAAAAGTTGCAAAAGGGGAACTAAACTCTGCATTTGCCGTTGTTAGACCTCCTGGACACCATAGTAAGAGTGATCAATATTCAATGCAATGATACATACAGTTTGTCAAATCAACCATTGACTACTATCTTATGAATTATCTAAATTAATTCTTCTTATGTATATTGCAGGAATTAGGTATTAACAAGATACTAATTGTTGATTGGGATGTTTATCATGGAAATGGTACTCAAAAGACCTTCTATAAGGACTCCCAAGTGTTGTTCTTCTCTGTACACAGGTAAATGATTAGTTTCCAATATTAATAATAAATCTCTTATTAAATTTTTTTTGGTTTAAAACTATAAATAATGCAGGGATGAGTATGGGACTTTTTATCCCTGTGGTGATGATGGATCATATGACATGAAGGGTGATGGAGAAGGTGAAGGATACAATATAAATGTTCCATGGGAGAATGGAAAATGTGGTGATGTAGATTATATTGCAGCATGGGACCATATACTGATCCCTGTTGCAAGAGAATTTAAACGTGTTCATATCTTGTAGTATGGTTCGAACATTCCATTTTTTATAAATATCATTGTTGATTGATTCTTTTTTTTTTTGTTATTATTAATGGTCTTGATTTGGCTCTTTTTGGTGCCAAAAAACATGCAATTGTGATGGACACATGCAACAAATATCTCTAGAAGAGAACCAATGGTTCTCATTACAGGTATCAGCATCAAAAACACTAAATTTTTAGCTTTTTTATATTGATTAATCAATTGTGAGTTTTATTTGTCTTTTAAGTTCTATATTAAGTCAAAACTTTCTTGATAAGGAATGAAGTATGTAATGGGGTTAGTTCTAATTATGAATATGAAATTCAGTATGGAGTAACAGATAGTGGCTTTTCTGGAGTAAGAGCTCTAACCAAGCTTTGACTGCTTTAAGTTTGTAAGTTTCTTTGATTGATGGATTTTTGTCAAGTAAAAAAAGTAAATCGTGTTAACTGAAATCGCATACATGTATTGCAGATTAAGATAACATCTTTGTTTGGGCATCATTTGAAAGAGTAATAGATTAATGTATTGCAATACTATTTCACCTACGTTGCTGAAAGGATCAAGAGAATGTAAAGGCATTTATTGTAAAAAAAACTGGGAAGAGTTGAATCTTTTCTTTATTTGGTTTTTTTTGTGTAATTTGCTGAAAAGTTGTATGTCTGCATGATAATTTAAGACTGTACCAAATGGAAAATATTACGGGTTTGTTTAAATTTGAGAATAATTTTTGTTTATCAATGAATAATAGTATATTTTACCATTGACTAGTTACTTAAGTGGGTCAAATGCAAAAAACAACAAAAATCAGTGACGACTTTTTATGGTCACTAATTGGGTAAACCAGTGACGACTTTGTATAGTCACTAATTGAATAACACAGTGACAAATTTTTATGGTCACTAATTGGATAAACCAGTGACGACTTTGTATGGTCACTAATTGATTAGTATAGTGACGACTTTTTATGGTCACTAGTGGGACAAAATAGTGACGACTTCCGTTGATTAGTGACAACATTTAGTGACGAAACGGGTCGTCATTGATTTAGTGACAAAGATATTTTAGTCACTATTTAGTGACTACTTATATGTTTTGGTCACTAAATCGGTTTTGTGACGGACCTATAGTGACGAAAAGTGACGACCGGGATTTTGGTCACTAAATCGTTTAGTGACGACCCTTTCTATTGTTAGTGACCATTTCATTTTGGTCACTAATTAGCATTTTTTTTGTAGTGGTTGTGGTGCGTATGGATGTGTCTCGTATCGTGTTGAGATGTCATAGGCAATTTGATCGATATGTGGTTCAGCATGGAAGAAATATGGAATATGTTGAGAAGGATGACTAGAGCAATGGGACATCTAATGCAATTCCAAGGAGATACTTTATGCTCGCTACTTTGGGTGCCAAATTGTTTGGTTTTGAGACATTACATGAGTAATGCATGGAGAAGGTTGATTTTGGTTCTATTTTTTTGAATTATTGCTACACAATTTTTTTACTGGAAACATGTTTGTTCCTATGTGCTCAGCTCAGGAATTACATGGTGGATCCCTGGATTTCTCTTTTCCCACTTTTGTTCGTTTCGGATTCATTCAACCCATAAAACAGAATAGTACCAATCGCTCTTTATTCCAATCTTGATGTTCGTCTTTATAGTTTTGTTCGTGATCCCCTCATTTCTTTTTATTACCTTGTTTCTTTCACATTAACTTCAATAATACATAATGGTTTTTAAATCAATTAATGATTAATATTTTAAGTTTAACACAGTTGTATGTCCTTTTGGGTGTGACAAAAAATTAAAACTTTTGTCCCTTTGACATCGGTCATACTCTTAGTCTAATGCATGCCAAATATAGTACAATCTGTTAATGGTAAGTCATCGAGTCGAGTCAATATGCGGTCGCACTCCCCTAGCTTGCTTTTACTGTGACAATGTATTAGGAATATGTTTACTTGTCATTTGCTCTCTCTCTAGATTGTAAATACCATTTTCTTCTCACACCATTCTTGCTTTGTCTATCAGCTAAGCAATTTGCATATCATGGGTCATCGGAGAATGAAGCCCAAGAGAAGGTGATCTTGAAGAACAGCTGCTAAGCACATCAATCGCCTGGTGAATTTCAATGTTTTTGTTTAAGACTATGCTTTAAACCATGTTTTATGTTAAAGATCTATGAGATTATCTTAAAAATCATGTGTTTAGTGGTTTGAAAAAAGCTTTAAAGATTGTTCTTTATATGGAGTCTATCGGTTTTTATGGTGTCTAAAGTATCTTAGAGATTGGTACTTTCATGGAGTTTTCTCTCATGTCATATTGCGTCCGATTCACTGTGACCAGGTTTTGACCTTTTTGTGATTTTGTGACAGAGAATGAATCATATAAGAACATAAGAGCAAGCTGGGAGGGACCTAAATGGAATATTTATCATTTTTATATTTACATCCTATCTAGAATATCTTTAAACTAGCATAAATAAGAATTAATCAGAGGGCACTTGGATCACCGAGTAATTTGGATTCTCATAGTCATTGGCAATAGATTGGGCAGGAGGTCCCTCTTTCGAGAGCCTCTCTTATTTCGGGCATAAATAATGATTAATTATCTTCACTGATTTGTTATTTTGAGTTCCATTTCAATTTCATAGTAATCTAGCATTCAATTCCATGTTCTTTCATTATTGTGTTAAGATTTCTATCATTTTCGTTGTCTTGATTCTTTATCAATAAAAAAGCTTCCCCTCTGTAGTGTGCCTTATCGTTAATAGATTTCATATAACTTGGGATTTGCGTATATAAATGCAATAACAGGAATTATGTTTGTTGTTTCTTGTGTTTTTGTTGACCTGTCTGGATCAAAAGCGATTTAACAGGTTCGTAACTGGATTTATATAACGAATTATCCGGGTCTTACTTTTTGTTTTTTAAATAATACAAAATATTATATGCAACAAGTGCACACGTACTCAACGCCAATCAAACATATTACATATGGTTAATAATATAAAAGAGACTATATTTTGTCAAATTTTTAGTTTAACCATCAAATTTTAATTGGTGCTAAAAAACAATCAATTTTTTTGATAAGTTTTACCGCGAGCATTATCAATTGCAAATTTCTGTCAAACAAACAGGTAATGCCCCCCTTTTTCCTCTACAAAAGTCACCGATATTTTCAAAAACATCTATCGCAACGACTATCTGTATTTTTTCTTTTCTGTTTTACGGCTTATTTTTACCAAAAAGTTAATATATAAAAGTTACAGTCTTTGTATTTTATAAATAGAGAACCGACATATGTCGGTACCAAACCTCAAAGGTCAGTTTTTATTTATTTTTTCAAAAATCATCCGGTTTTGGTTTCTATGATTTTATTTTAGGTTTTTTTTATTTGTGTTAAAATCGAGTACCGAATACGTAATCAATCACAGAAATTAGAAAGAACGCGTCAATTAAATAAGATCTGATTGACTCATTTATGTTTGTAAATAGTACAAAGGTTTGAAAGCGTTTAAAATAACGAATAGCACAAAACATACTCTCACCCTAATACTTACCCTATTTATAGGTTGTTACAGATGCACAAAAAATACAAGGATTAAACGTTCAATATCGAATTCGACATGTGCCTTGTATATACATACAATGTCGAAATCACTGATTTCGCACCGTAACAGACTCAAAAGAGTTTCGACTTTTCACTATCTACAATTCAAACCCTACAATCTCCCCCTTAGTGAGAAAAGTCGAAATTATGTCATGAGCTTCAAAGTCTGTAGAAGTACATTGCGAACCTCCATATACCATAAGATCGTCTTTCGAATCTCTGCCTTGTCTTCAGCTTCATTTTTCTTGCAGTTATTGATACGAACAAGGAGATTGGTATAATGAGCATTTGTATACCTCTCAAAATCACTAACTTGAAACAAGAAATTTGCCATCCTCTCATTCTTGTTCTTCCCTCGAAATACAACTCCTAGAGGTTGATGAATAATCTCCTCATCTTCATACCTGTCTATATCAATCTTCCCCTTCATCAATGACCGAAGAGCCTTTGAAGTCTTGTTAATAGCCATAGCAAGCTCAATATAAGTTATTGCTAGGCAATCATAGTAGTTGTCAATGAAAACCTTAATGTGAGCAAAACCAATAATGAAATCATCTTTGATCGACTCAGGCAACTTCGAAACATCAAAATTGCTAAGAATCCTTCGAACATGTTCTCTCGAGTGATGGACATCATCTTCACAAATTTACTTATGACCACACTTCTTCTTCATTTTTCCCCAATACAGCATGAAATCGCATCTTGAGCCTTTTGAACTTATCTTCATCATTGAAATTCTCTGCGATTTTGAACTGAAAAAAGTGAACAACATATGCTTCAAAGGGAAGTCAAGCTGATTGAAATCCGAGTTCTCAATGTCATAGCTGTAACATCCCGATTCCCAGGTATGAGATTTATTATTCTAAAGACAAGTTTCCCTTGGAACTCGTCGAGTTGATGGCCTCAACTCGACATGTGGAACGGCTTTGGGCTGCGCATCTTTTTGGACCAACTCGACGAGTTGGAGAGGAAAACTCGGCGAGTTGGCGGCTGTTTGTGAAACCCTAAAATTTAGGGTTTGCA